ACCTGCAGAGTTAGCTTGACTGCTAGCATCAGAGACGTCGTCTTCCTCACTCAGAGAAGAGTGTGCCTTAGATTTATTTTGTGCTTTCTTAGCCGGCATAATGTCGCGGATATACGATAATAACTCGTTACAAGCAATAGTTATCACTGTTCACGCAGTTAAAGGACAGTTTTCAGGAACTTACTAAAATATCGCCAGGAGCTCACAAAAATACGTGTGCCTAGTTCAGCGCCATAACCACGCCCCCTATCTGTACTTTTACTTTTTATAAAAAACTACTGTTTACTGTGTTATTAAATTTACAGTTAAAGTTCATATTTTACACTCTGCACACTGATCCTAATGATCTTAGTGTATTTTGTAGTGTTTTAATGCATTTAATAGCAGTATTTTAACAAGTATTTCGTAATATTTTAGCATTTTGTATTTTGTAGTGTTCGTCTGTGTATTTTGTAGTATTTTAATGTGCTTCAATAGTATTTTCAACTGCAGTATTTTTACAGCGTGTAACTGGAGAGTTTTCAGGAGACGCCCAGTGGAATAGCCCTTCCGCGTATGACGTCATATGTGGTCAAGGTTTCAGAGCACAAAAATAAACTAACGGAAGCGGACTTTCAAAATAAAAATTAATAAAAATAAGTTAATCTGTGTGATTTATTTAACGCATTCCTGTATTTTATTATATGAATTCAACTTGCCTGTGTTCACAGCTTCTTTAGACGTCACTAAAGTGTCGTCACTAAAGGTGTCGTTTTATAGGTTTGTTTGCCCTAGAGCTACTGCGGTGCTTTAATTGTGAAGCGCCACAGCGGAAGTGCCGTCCTCGCGCTCCCTACCTTGACGCAGCGGGGCTCAGGTCGGTCCGCGAGCTGACGGCAAGAACCGGGATCGAACCTACTCCTGTGACGTCACCATGGCTGCTCAGGTAAGACCATCGCCTGCACGCGTACCTATCTGCGGTGACCTCTGACCCCGCGGCTGGCTCCAATCAGCGCGCTGAACCGAACCGGATTCGGGGAGCAACAGAACGGCGGGGACACACCTGAGACACGGCAGGTGTCAGCAGACAGGTGCAGCGAGCGGCACGAGGAGAGGAGGGGGACACAGGGGAGACACGGGGGAGACAAGGGGGGAGGGAAGAGCCGCAGGCACGGCTTATACAGCCGTGGGGAGAACTGCCAACATCCAGTTGGGAAAATAGGAACGCACAGGCTGTTGCTGCGCATGTGCGGGAACACCAGCCCACGTTTAAAAGTTGTCGGAGAAGCTCAGAGGAGGGTCAAAAGTCACAGACCTGCTGCTGAGGAGAGATCGATGAGAGTTATTGATCCCTGCGATGATCAGTGAGGTCTGCAGGCGATATATCAGAAACTTTAGATTGTGAGGACGAACTCAGAGATTGTCAGTGTGAGGAGGTCTCCTGTTTCCCACAGCACAGTCCTCTGACACCAGTGGCGGTCCTAGCCTGTTTGGCGCCCCGGGCGAACACTCCCTCTGGCGCCCCCCCACATACACAAAAAACATATTAAGGATTATACATTACGATAAAACTGTTGTCGAAACATACTGAATTTTGCCAGAGAAACACACATATGAAGAGAGAGAGAGAGTATGCATTGTATGCAAACGGCTACCAAACAGCCATCATAATTCGTCATACAATGAGAACAGGACAAATCAACAACTGACAATTAATATTAAAACCTGTAACATAATGTACTGTTTGGAGTTTAGTATTTTTACCATTTCTTCTTGGAGCAACTGTAATCCACATAATTTCCTTAGGGATTAATAAAGTATTCTGATTCTGATTGTTTCAGGATGACCTGCCATTATCCAATCACACATCTGCTTACCTGCATCTGTTGCTCGTTTCTCCTCCTCTTCTTTTTTATTTTTTCTAAACTGAGCTCCTGATGGCTTTGAACTTTTCTTGTCCACCTTACATTGGTTTTAATTTTGCACTCCGGTATGAACACAAATCCCCCATATCGAGGATCACCGCAACATAACCTAACAGACCTACACCTTAGTTCACAGATTCACTTTGTCTAAGGTTTATTTCTGAGATTTCGCACAATCCAGGATTCAAATCATGAATACATAATTTACAACATTATGAATGAAATGTGCTCTATTTGGAAGTAGCAGGTCTTCCTCCCCTTTCGACGGGTTGTGTGTGAGACTTTAAATCATCAAACTGTAAATTATAAATTTTAAATTGTTATTGATCCCTTTACCCCGAGTCCTAAAGTGTATATTTATTGTCTTACTCTTCTTATATTTATTGTTTGTTTACTTGCACTGCTGTAACTGGAGCCTCGTCGTCTCGTCTCTCTATATACTGGACTGTATGTAGCGGAGATGACAATAAAGTTTACTTTGACTTCAGCAGCAAGCAGGTGCACCGAGGGCTCGCGCTCACTTTTCGCGTATAGAATTTTGAAAAAACATCGGTGCAAATTATAAGTCTGTATCATGATGTCTGGTGTTTTTGTGTTTGTTGTTTTGTTTTTATTTTGTTTTATTGCGAGTTGGTTATTAGATGCTGCTCCAGCCAGCCAGTGAATCCCCTGCCGCGCCGCCCCGCCCTCTCCTCTCTGCGCCGCAAGCAGCAGGCGCACCTCACTAACGGAGGGCGCCCTTACTCCCAGCAAATGGGCGATAGAAAACCGATCGGTCCCTGTACCATTCCCAATATGCGCTGGCTGATGTCGGGGCAGCACGAGTACGAGCAATTTTTTTATTTTTTATTTTTTGCTGATGCCCGTGATGCCGTCCCGGGCAACCGCCCATGTCGCCCGTATCTAAAACCGCTACTGTCTGACAGTCAGAGAACTCATCGCTTATTGATTTATTTAAAATAACGCTGGCATGCCTGGGTCTGAGATATCAGCTGTGCTGCAGACGGAGAGCTGAAGCTCAAAAAGACCTCAGATTGTTTTTAAACTTGACTCTAAGCGCTTCATGATATGAATGTACCTGCCCATCACCCAAACACCTGGATGTTGTCCACGCTTCAGGTTTATTACTGGCTGTGGAAATCACGTGGCTCACTGTTCTCTGCGTGTTGCTGCGGATGTTCCCATTGGCTGGTACTTGTCTATGAAGCCCTGCTTGGCCTGCTTTCCTCTTACCTTCGTGTTTATATGTGTAACAACCAACACGGCCTTCGCATTCACAGCATCATCCAAATGATCGCCCTGGGAATCGGACAAAATCAGGATTTCAAATGTGCTGCTGGTGTTTCCAGGAATAATCAAATTGACACATCTGTACTTGTTTGTACTTGATGTCTCGTTACCTGTTGTGTCTGTTGCACCTTTGCTCGTGTGGTGGGAATGAGAGCCTGGATGAATAAATCAATCAGACATCTCATGTTTACTCTGATGGTTTCACTGAAGGACGGCGTCCTGATCGGGGATCAGTGATGCGAGGGATGAAACCATGGTAACAGTTTAACAATGAGGGAGACGTGGTGACAGGTCTGCAGCCTCCACCATCACGCTTGGGGCAGAGACTGAGCTGTGGGCGTGGGTGGTGCTGCAGGAAGTGATGGTGTGTTGGAGTGAAACAGACCTGAGGGTGATGGGGACCGTCGTTGTCCTCAGGTGGGGGCGTGGCAATGGAAAACTCACATGATCATTTCTACTGTAAGTAGAAAGAAGTTGTAATATAACAATCACAATTACTCTAATCAGTGAGAGAGTTTGTGACGGTCTCCACAGAGTAAACTTTTATATGACTGACTTGCAACGACGTAGCGCTCCTGCATCAGCGTTAGTCCTGAACTCAAATATAACTTCAAACTATTTTGTGACTGTTCGGCTCTGCAGACGTGTTTGTCAATGCGACAAGCAGAAATCATATTTGTGTTCATGAATAAACGTGTGGAGGCAGGAGACGACGTTTCATCGCTGCACATGGAAATGTCTCTGTGTGAGCTTCTCTGGAAAGAAAAACCCAGAAAGCCTGGAAGTTCCTGATATGTGGATGTCAGGAAGTACTGTGGTCCAACAGGAAGTCAGGTTCGAGAGTTTGTAGTTTCACTGACATCCAGACGTTTCCTCTGAGCCCAAACCAGAGCTGGTTCCTCTGACTGCCCCTAAACTTTAGTTTGTACCAGTCTGAGCTCTGTGTGTGTGTGTGTGTGTGTGTGTGTGTGTGTGTGTGTGTGTGTGTGTGTGTG